AAACAACGGTTTATCAATTAGACTTTTATAAAAAGTTAAACAAAGTAAGTATAAAAAAGTAAATATCATAAGATATAGTTTGTATTTCATAGTTTTTTTCATACTGATACTAATTCAGAAGCAAAAAATACTTTTTACTCCTCCGTTTCTTCAACATTTGTTTTATTTATTTATTTATCTATTTTCTCCAGTTACCTCTGTTTTCTTTGCGTTTTTTTTCATCATCATCCACTTTTCACACCTTTCACCTCAACTAAACGGTTTGCAACAGCAACTAATCAACAACTGCAGCAACAGCAATAACATTTCGCTGATGGTGATTTGGATGATGAGGATGTTGATCGATATAAGCAAAACAAAATGCATTAACAATGTAAGAAGGCAAGAAAAAAGAGGGTTTCACAATAATAATCGTCTTTAAAACATCTTAGAAGAAGATCGGTAATTGCATAAAAACTTTTTTAAGTTCTTTCCAGCAATCTAAATAATGTTATTTTGACTCTACAAAAGTGAATTAAAAAAGAAACATTTGAATCATTAAACATATCTTCTTTAAGTTTTTTTTTCGTGGACTATTTTCTTGTCTATTTTTTAAAGATTTCCTTCTAAATCAAAAAAATAGGTACGTTTTTTTGATATTTTTATAGGTTTCAGCTTAGACCAATAGACGGTATTTATAGCCACTGTCGTCACTGCAGCGACATTCCGTAATTCGCCTTTATGGCAGATAACAGCAAAATTTCCTTTTCATTCATTTCTTTTACAGAATTCAGTTAGACACAAATAATTTTTATTAAATTCTTAATTTAATAGCACAAAAGGTAGCTATTTTTTAGAATGGATTAAGATTTTTTTTGCTGAAAAAATGAAGTTGTATGAAAATATGTTCTCAAAAATATTAACCGGATATGATGCGAGGAAGGAAGTAGAAAAGCAGTTCTATCAGCAATTCACTTATTTCTGATTTTGTCTGAAAAACGCTAAAAAAAGCGAAGCAGAAAAAAGTTTTATAAACGATTTTGTACAGCAAAAATATGCTCAATATTTCTTACATTATTTTTTGTTTGATCAGACAGATAAATCACACTGAAACCAATTAGTAGCTCATTTATAGTAACCCATTGTCCGGTTTTATTGAGTTCTTCAAAACAGAAGATTTATGATGCAAGTTGAAAAGTTCAATGAAGAAATCAATTAATACTGTTCTCAACTATTTTTTCATTTGGACATTCATTAGAAGGCAAAAAAGTTTACTAATGCCATCCATTTATTCAACAAATTACAGTAGTCAACAGATTATCAGTCTTTATGAGAACTCCCTACTCAAACTGCCGTCGATTTCACAGATGATAAAAGGGCTTCCTCCTGGAAAGGAAATGCAAATGCCACCATCCTTTGATGCTCTTCCCACATTCTTCCTTTTGCTTCATTTTTTTTTTTTTTTTTTTT